CTCATTTTGCATTCTTATTTTGTTGAAATTCAATTGAGATAAATAAAAATCCTATTCTACGCTCTCCTAGAGTAGTAATTGCAATTTATGACAATTCTAGTATTAAATTTGAGCTATGGCAGTTTGAAACGTCAATTTTGGCTCTCAAACTACGATTGCTGATCATTTTAAAGTTACAGTTTACATGAAGTTGTTTGAGAAGCTCATTTTGCTTTCTCATTTTGTTGAAATTCAACTTAGATGAATAAAAATTCTATTCCAGAATCTCCTAGAGTAGTAACTTTAATTTCTGACAATCCTTGTGTTGAATTGGAGCTATGACAGCGAAACGTCAATTTTGGCCCTCAAACTACGATTTCTGATCATTGTAAAATTACATCACATAAAGCAGTTTGAGAAGCTGACTTTGCACCTTCATTTTGTTGAAATTCAACTGAGATGAATAAAAATCCTATTTCAGGTTCTCCTAGGGCCAATTTCTCAATAGCAGGTCACCTCCGGGTTAAGCTAACTCCAGGGTAAATATAGTAATTTTAACCTTAACTCTGAAGTTATGCTTAACCCGGGGGTGATTTGCTATTGAGAAACAGGCCCCTAGAGTAGTAACGCTAATTTCTGACAATTCTAGTGTAAAATTTGAACTATGACAGTTTCAAACGTCAATTTTGGCCCTAAAATTACGATTTCTGATCATTTTAAAGTTACAGCCCTGAGACTATGTAACGAATAGAGATATTTTCGATAAATTTTCAAAAGTTCCTTTTTGGGCTAAAGAACGCCCCAGCAACATTCCAAAGAGTGATAGACTACTAGGATTACAGGAAAGAATATGTCTAGAATACATGAAAAAGTTAAAGAAAGTATTTGAAAGACTAGAAAACTTTAATTTGAAAATGGAATGGAAAAAATCAGAATATTTACAGTTTGAGTTAACTGGGCTGAAATTCAACTGAGACAAATACAAATCCTAATCCAGGCTCTCCTAGAGTAGTAACTCTAATTTCTGACAATTCTAGTGTAAAATTTGAACTATGGCAGTTTTGAACGTCAATTTTGACCCTCAAACTACGATATCTGATCATTTTAAAATTACAGGTCACAGAGAACAGTTTGAGAAGCTCAGTTTGCAGTATTATTGTGTTGAAATTCAACTAGGATGAATAAAAATCCTATTCCAGGCTCTCCTAGAGTAGTAACTCTAATTGCAGAAAATTCTAGTGTAAAATTTGAACTATGACAGTTTTGAACGTCAATTTTGACCCTCAAACTATGATATCTGATCATTTTAAAGTTACACTTCACAGAGAACAGTTTGAGAAGCTCACTTTGCAGTATTATTGTGTTGAAATTCAACTAAGATGAATAAAAATCCTATTCCAGGCTCTCCTAGAGTAGTAACTCTAATTTCTGACAATTCTAGTGTAAAATTTGAACTATGACAGTTTTGAACGTCAATTTTGACCCTCAAACTATGATATCTGATCATTTTAAAGTTACACTTCACAGAGAACAGTTTGAGAAGCTCACTTTGCAGTATTATTGTGTTGAAATTCAACTAGGATGAATAAAAATCCTATTCCAGGCTCTCCTAGAGTAGTAACTCTAATTTCTGACAATTCTAGTGTAAAATTTGCACTATGACAGTTTTGAACGTCAATTTTGACCCTCAAACTACGATATCTGATCATTTTAAAATTACAGTTCACAGAGAACAGTTTGAGAAGCTCACTTTGCAGTATTATTTTGTTGAAATTCAACTAAGATGAATAAAAATCCTATTCCAGGCTCTCCTAGAGTAGTAACTCTAATTTCTGACAATTCTAGTGTAAAATTTGCACTATGACAGTTTTGAACGTCAATTTTGACCCTCAAACTACGATATCTGATCATTTTAAAGTTACAGTTCACAGAGAACAGTTTGAGAAGCTCACTTTGCAGTATTATTGTGTTGAAATTCAACTAAGATAAATAAAAATCCTATTCCAGGCTCTCCTAGAGTAGTAACTCTAATTGCTGACAATTCTAGTGTAAAATTTGAACTATGACAGTTTTGAACGTCAATTTTGACCCTCAAACTATGATATCTGATCATTTTGAAGTTACACTTCACAGAGAACAGTTTGAAAAGCTCACTTTGCAGTATTTTTGTGTTGAAATTCAACTAAGATAAATAAAAATCCTATTCCAGGCTCTCCTAGAGTAGTAACTCTAATTGCTGACAATTCTAGTGTAAAATTTGAACTATGACAGTTTTGAACGTCAATTTTGACCCTCAAACTATGATATCTGATCATTTTGAAGTTACACTTCACAGAGAACAGTTTGAAAAGCTCACTTTGCAGTATTATTGTGTTGAAATTCAACTAAGATAAATAAAAATCCTATTCCAGGCTCTCCTAGAGTAGTAACTCTAATTGCTGACAATTCTAGTGTAAAATTTGAACTATGACAGTTTTGAACGTCAATTTTGACCCTCAAACTATGATATCTGATCATTTTGAAGTTACACTTCACAGAGAACAGTTTGAAAAGCTCACTTTGCAGTATTATTGTGTTGAAATTCAACTAAGATAAATAAAAATCCTATTCCAGGCTCTCCTAGAGTAGTAACTCTAATTGCTGACAATTCTAGTGCAAAATTTGAACTATGACAGTTTTGAACGTCAATTTTGACCCTCAAACTATGATATCTGATCATTTTGAAGTTACACTTCACAGAGAACAGTTTGAAAAGCTCACTTTGCAGTATTATTGTGTTGAAATTCAACTAGGATGAATAAAAATCCTATTCCAGGCTCTCCTAGAGTAGTAACTCTAATTGCTGACAATTCTAGTGTAAAATTTGAACTATGACAGTTTTGAACGTCAATTTTGACCCTCAAACTATGATATCTGATCATTTTGAAGTTACACTTCACAGAGAACAGTTTGAAAAGCTCACTTTGCAGTATTATTGTGTTGAAATTCAACTAAGATAAATAAAAATCCTATTCCAGGCTCTCCTAGAGTAGTAACTCTAATTGCTGACAATTCTAGTGTAAAATTTGAACTATGACAGTTTTGAACGTCAATTTTGACCCTCAAACTATGATATCTGATCATTTTGAAGTTACACTTCACAGAGAACAGTTTGAAAAGCTCACTTTGCAGTATTATTGTGTTGAAATTCAACTAGGATGAATAAAAATCCTATTCCAGGCTCTCCTAGAGTAGTAACTCTAATTTCTGACAATTCTAGTGTAAAATTTGCACTATGGCAGTTTTGAACGTCAATTTTGACCCTCAAACTACGATATCTGATCATTTTAAAGTTACAGTTCACAGAGAACAGTTTGAGAAGCTCACTTTGCAGTATTATTGTGTTGAAATTCAACTAGGATGAATAAAAATCCTATTCCAGGCTCTCCTAGAGTAGTAACTCTAATTTCTGACAATTCTAGTGTAAAATTTGCACTATGACAGTTTTGAACGTCAATTTTGACCCTCAAACTACGATATCTGATCATTTTAAAGTTACAGTTCACAGAGAACAGTTTTAGACGCTCACTTTGCACTATTATTTTGTTGAAATTCAACTAAGATGAATAAAAATCCTATTCCAGGCTCTCCTAGAGTAGTAACTCTAATTTCTGACAATTCTAGTGTGAAATTTGAACTATGACAGTTTTGATTAGTCAATTTTGGCCATCAAAGGCCCGATTTCTCAATAGTGAGTCACCTCCGTGTTGGTTTCAACTCCAGGGTTAACATGTGTAAAGTTGCCCTTACCCTGGAGTTAGCTTAACCCAGAGGTGACCTGATACTGAGAAACCGGCCCTCAATAGCGAGTCACCCCTGGGTTGGTTTCAACTTCAGGATAAACGTGTCAAATTGCAATGTTTACCCGTGAGTTAGCTTAATCCGGTGGTGATCTACTATTGAGAAACTGGCCCAAACGACGACTTCTGATCATTTTAAAGTTTCAGCCTGGGGACTATGTAACCAAAGGTTGATTTTTCAATAGCGAGTCACCCCGGGTTAAGCATAACTTCGGGGTAAACAAAGCAACTCGACATGATTACCCTGGAGTTAAAATTAATCCGAAGGTGACTCGCTATTGAGAAACCGGCCCGAATAGAGGTATTTTCTCTATCTCTATTGACGTCCCTTTTTTATTGATTTCGAAAAAAAGAAAGAAAAAGACAGCAAGTGCCATAGCGATAGAAATAACGATATCTATCCGTTACATAGTCCCAGTGCTGTTCATTTAGAGCAGTTTGAGAAACTCACTATTTGCATCTTCATTCTGAGATGAATAAAAATCCTATTCCAGGCTCTCCTAGAGTAGTAACTCTGATCCAGGAAATCGAGAACTAATAATGTTAATTCGCTGGGTAGTTTTTCCACAGACAATCATCAACTAGCAACTGAGGAAAATTATAAAAAAATCAATTATTCCAGATCCAAATGTAACCAGAATGCAACCGACATCCTCAAAGCTGCTTTACCTATTGGCCATACTGATTTATCCAGCAAGATCAGCCTTTCCACCAAGCTTAAGGTACCCGCTCAAAGTATCCAGCAACCAAATCGCTGACATCGAAACAACATGCGACGCCCAAAATGTCAACGTTACCATCACCATGAAGCAGCCCTTCAAAGGTGCGGTATTCGCCAAGGATTTCGCTCAAGAGTGTAAAGCTTTCGGTACACTTTCAAATACGATTTCCGTAAGTTTTCCCACATCTGGATGCGGAGTAAGAATGACGTCATTGCCAGATGAAAGTGGAAATGCTCACATGTTTTATAGTGTAGCAATGGTGCTGCAGCAAGACAGATATTTGAGGCAAATTTTGGATCAGGAAAAACTAATACGATGTGAAGTTTTAGATGAGGCCTTTTTAGTCAAAAGCCAGTCGCTTTTCAATGCACTTAAGGCTAGAAACGTCAATCATAGGTAAATATTTTAGTTTTTTTGTTTGTAACCTAATACAAAAATATAATTTTTAGAGTTGGCCGTTTAATGAACGAAGGTTGGTCAAAGGATTTAAACGAAAAAGAGCTGGAAGAGGAATTGAAAGAAGCAATGTCAGCTGCAAGGGCTTGGATGGAGATTATTCCAGAAAATAATGCTGAAAGATCCATTGGGACTGTAGAAGTGGGTGAAACTGTTCTATTGACACTAAAATCAACTTTACCAGGTAACAAAAACACTATATCCTAATTTAATAAAACATAAATATATTATTTCAGTTGGTATTGGCTGGAGAATTGTCGATTGTACAGCTCATGATGGTCTAGGAGACTCTTCCCAGAAACTTCTTGACGAAAACGGTTGTCCTTTGGACGAAACTTTACTGCCAGCACCGAAATTCGGCCCAATAAAACCCATAGCTTCGATGCGGCATCAAGAAGCTGTAGCCAAATTTGCTGCTTTCAAGTTTCCAGATCGGGACAGGTTGCATTTGCAGTGCAGGTTGCAAATATGTAGAGGAGTTTGTGCAAAAGTTAGCATTTCTAATGTAATTTTGGAATCAATAATATCCTACTTCATTTTAGATTGATTGTAATAAAAACGAAAATCGTATTGGGAGGTCTTCAAGTGAAGAAGGTGAAGTTTTAGACAGGCTGGAGGTGTACAATAGTGTTGAAGTAATTGCTCCCGAAATCGATGATGCTAGTGATTATAGAAAAAAAATACAATCAGCTGGTAAGTTTGGCATAAAATTGTACATAAAATTTCTGTATATAAAATATACTTTTCTTACTATGCACATATCTTTTATTTTTTCCCCCACACAATCTCTATTGCTTCATCTAGATTTTGATTAATTTCGGACAACTTTATAAATTGTAGACGATTACGTCGATGTAATCTAAGTCTTAGATAAGTGCTTTGTTAATAAAAAAAAAAAAACTGCCAGATTTATGTTCGTACCCCTCAATTACGTAATGTGCCGAACGCCCAGTAATGCATTAAAAGAAGAGAACGCATGATTTCCCTTTTGGAGGTAACCTTTAATTAAAGCGAGCATAAATTACGAGAACCAGTGCGGATAGCTTGATTGGAGCTTCTTCTAATGCGTATGATTTGATACTATTTGTCAATTTTGCCTAGAAGTTAGGTGATTATCTAGAATGGATTTTTAAGATTGATAAAAGTTGAAACAAACACTTTGTGAATGGGATCAGAGTTGCCATGTATTATATTGTACTTAAAAGATCATATGGAGAGAATTTCTTGGATGAAGTGTGTGAATGGTGATTGGTCCTGGCGATGTTATTTCTGACACTTATTTTTCATATTCTTCTAAGCTAGTTTAACAATTCACACACGCTTTTTGAAAAACATCAGAGTGGGAAAATCTGATTTCAATCATTCAAATACAATGGAGGCTTTATTCTCTTCCATGATTCATGTGTCCGAAAGAATGATCTGTTTATTAAATAATTTTGAGTTTATTAAATAATTCTCTGCCTTCATATATGATAGAGCTACGGATGAGTTCTGAGTGGGAGATAGGCAATCTCATCACGTAATCATGGCGCGTATTGTATTGACCCCTTAGCTCCAATTCGTACCTGAAGGACAAACAGGCCGTTTCCAGAATAAACAGACAACAGAGATAGTTAGAATACCGTGGTTCAGAAACAGAGGGCGGCACGAATTCCGAGGTTTGGTTCCACACACAGTGTGGAGCTGTGTGAAGCTGTGCTGAAGTAAAAACACTGAATTAAAAAGATAGTTAGAACAAGAGACTCAATAATCGCGAAATACGCACATTTGGCAGTGAAAAAATTTAGGTTAATAGCAATAACTCTGAAGGCATAGCAACCAGACGAAATTTTGTTGCATATTTTTGCAATGTAGTCTTTAAACTTAAGGGACTAGTCATTTGACAAACCTAGGAATTTATTAAACATTGGCTGTGATGGGTACATTTTCCAAGTAGGTAGATATCCTCAGTAGCACATTTAAACTTGAGGATTTTGGTCTTAGATGTATTGAATGTCAGAGAATTGGCGTCGCACCAGCACTTTATTTTAAGCAGATTCGTCCTCATATTGGCATCCATTCTACCAACATCAGAATCATGTCAGAGGATAGTGGTCTGCAAAGATTGTAAATCTACCCGTTATCTGGAGATGTGGTAGATCATTCACCTAAATGAGGAAAAGTAGGGGACCAAGAACCAAGCCCTGTGGGACGCCCACACTAATATCAAGTTCCTTAGAGGTACCACCATTAAAATTGACAGTCTGAACGTGATCCGACAGGTAAGAACGAAACCACTCTAGGGCAGTTCCCCTGAAACTATACAGCTCGAGTTTCCACAGTAGCACTCTGTGACTCACACAGTCAAAAGCCTTTGATAAATCACAAGCGGCCACACCATAGTTCAGACTATTGTAAACGTGTTCAAGAAAGTCAAAGATGGTATTCCCTGTACTCATGGATTCGCGAAAGCCAAACTGCTGAGAACTCAAAAGGCCACGGTTGTTCAAGCACGATAACATCCTAACCTTAACAAGGCACTTCACAACCTTAGCCAGAGACATGCTCTCCACCCTTATATAGAGGGATAAACACTGCTCTCTTCAGGCAAGATGGAAAAACCCCTGACACAAAAGAAATGTTAATTGCCTCAGCAAGAATCTGCAAAGCAACCATGAGTAAAGCTTCAATGAGAGCCCGACGCACCCTTATTCCTGATATTACCGAGTATATATATAAGCTCTTCTGCATTAGTTGGAGCTACAAAGAAAGATTCAGCCACTACTACATGTTTCAGATAGCCCCCGGGATTATTCCCTGTTGAAATTTTGGCTGAGAGTTCAGTGGCAATATTCCAATAAAAGGAATTTAGGTCATCAGGATTCAGATTGCTTGAAGTGACCGAAACATTTATTCCTACCCCTCAGATCATTTACAATTTTTCAAGTTTCCCTTGATCTATTAGAAGAGTTATTTATCCTATTCTGAAAGTAAGTCCACTTGGCAAGCCTGATCGATCTTCTGAAAACCAAGGGCGGTTTAAAGGGGGGGGTAGAGGGGGTAATTACCCCCCCCCCCAGACAAAGATTTTTTTAAAACACTTAAGAATAAAATTTCAACAAAAGACAAGTTCTATAAAGTAAAGCATAGAAGGCATTGTATAAATTGATAGGCTCACCAGTATCGACGTACCTACTACTATACAGTGAAATAAAAGGTATTTCATTTGAAAAAAAAGCTATGGTTGTTTGAAATATCTGGTTTTGTGTACTAGGTGTTTGTTTAAAACTGGAACACTTAGTAACTTTCTTATATGATTGAAAATAAAGGGCATGTTTAAGATGGGAAATTTCTTGGTAAATTGTAACCTTAAGCGCTACAATGATATTTTTTTGTCGTCATAGGTTTACAGGGTGCGCCAAAAAGGTATTATTTTTAAATGGAATGCCCTGTATATTTTTGTTATCCAAATAATATATGATATGTTTGTGAAGCTAACTTTCTAAGAATTTCAAAAATGCAAAAATATACAGGGCGTTCCATTTGAAAAAATGACTTTTTTGGCGCACCCTGTATACTTATGGCGACAAAAAAATCTCATTGTAGCGATTAAGATCATTGCAATTTATCAAGAAATTTTCTAATTTAAACATGCCCTCTATTCTTAATAATAAAAAAGTTATTGAGTGTTCCAGTTATAAACAAACACCCTGTACAGTAACAGTATTGCGAACACCCTATAGAATGTTATCAGATTTTCATAGGACCATGAAGTAAATGTAAGTATACACTAACAGCCTGCAAAAAAATTAGCTTAAGGATCTCAAATGAATGAAATGTGTTGGTTTTTGTTGATACATGCATTGACACATGCAAACTGCGATTTTTTGAAAAAGTTTCAAATATTTCAAAAAGTACTTGAATGTATAAATTTTCCTGCATTCGAATACATGAAATATGAATGTTTTTTATGAAGATAAATTATGCGCAAACTTGTAACGTCACACCGGCTAAACTCCGAAATGCCAGCCTCCCGTTCGTTCAGTCCTCAGTGAACCGTGCCCTATACTTTGAGTGGTTGCCATTCGCTCTAATGAGATCGTGGGCATTTGTTTTGAAAAATTCTTACACGTGTTAAAACTGTACTTCCGAAGCCGGTATGACGTCACAGCCTAGGCGTTCGTAACTTGTGATGGGTTCAAATTTCAATCCGATTATTGGCTTGATTTCTATACAGTAAATAAATTCATGATCAATATTATGCAATAAATTATCAGTCGTGAGCACAGAAAGTGGGACACCCGTTTTTTCCTATTGTAAAACGGGTTCACCCAGCTATACTTAAGGCAATGACAGGAATTGTCATATTTGACAAAAAATCCATTGTAGAGAAAAGACTGATTTATGCAAAATAGACTGATTTATGCAAAATTACAAGACCTGTCAGTCGAGTGTCCCACTTTTTGGGTTAGTGCAAACGCCGATTTTTTGAAAAAGTTTCAAATATTTCAAAAAGGGTCGAGTTTTTATAGAAATTTATAGATTTGCTCACAGATGGGCACATAATTGACCCATTAGTATAGGTAATTCCTAAGAAAAAGTATATAGGATTGTTATAACAATCCATTAATGTTCTAAAATGTAAGGTGTTCCATTTAAAATAACAAAGGTCTGTCACATACCTCATTTACGGAACACCCTGTGTATATTCAAAAATATTTTAAACTACTAATGGATCTTAGAGTATCAAACAACTTTGTAATTTAATTTTTTTTTCTTGCATTACCCTGGAAGGAGATATCGTCTACTAAGTGAACACCCTGTATAACTATTTTGCCGGCATCGGGCATTCAGGTGCAAATTTGGGCGTGGCACCCTTAAAAAAATTTAGCCTCCGGCGGGAAGCCATTCGACACTTAATGATTTTCCCGTCATCCATTACCCCCCCCAGAAAATCATCTATGGACCGCCACTGCTGAAAACCCTACCTATCAAAATAATTTAAAAATATTGTATTGTTCATAGAGAATTTTCTGATGTAATGAAGGGAGCGCATATTTTTTTCAGAAGTTCGCAAATTAATATGCGAAATTAGAACTGGAAAATCCACAGGTTGTTGATAGAATGATAATCGATGAAAGATTTTAAATTGAAATTGAAAAATATTTAAACTGATAGATAGATATTTTTTCACCTTACCTGGCTTTACTTCCAAACTCCATGCAGTTGGCCAACTCTTTCAGGAAATTCAAGTCCAATGCGAAGGAGTACAAACGAAACCGTCTTGATTAAAACCGGTCGCGGCAAGCAAAAAACCGCAGGTCTATTTTCTCGAAACGAACGCACCTTTGTAAACCAGAGTTTCTCTGCAGCCAGTCCTATAAGATCCCTCATAGGCACACTACCACTAAGTGCCCATGCTACTTTCACCTTACCTCTATGTTTAATGTACAAGTTATCATCAAAATAGAAGTCCTTATTTCCTATAACGGCGTTCAAATGAAAATAACTTGCTTTCACTGCATAACCTGTCAAACATCATTTTATTATGTTCATTAATGAAATTATTAAACAATCTATTATTGTTCCAAAGTGGGACGGAGCAAACCACAAGATTAGTATATTCACCCACTGATTCTGTATATAGTTTCTCCCCTAACTTCAATAAATTTGTCACACCAGCGATAACAATCACATAATCCTTCTTATCGAAA